TGTCCCTCATGCACATACACTACCATTAATTTTAAAACCTTTAAAAAATGTGTTCTGAGCTCCCAAATAACGACAAAACCTGTGGTGCCCTCTATTGTGCTTAGTATTGACAAAGTTGACAGGAAGGGTAGGACCGTGGTCTTCACACGTCTCAGGTCGAGACCTCACAGAACTGCCGGTGGCCACGGCCAGGGGCTCTGAGCACAGGCTGGTCACGTGGAGGGGAGCGGGAAGGCGCAGGCAGAGGTGACCCGTACATCACGCTGGCACCACGAGGTGACACTTCACCACAAGGGCCCTGGATTCCTGCCGTGGGAAGGGAAGGACTTGCCAGGGTAAGGACGGTGACTTCCCTCCCCAGGTCCCGCTGGGCGCAAACCCTCCCTCGTAAGCAGCCGCAGAGAACCCCCTCAGCAGGGCGAGCCTCGGGAAACAGCCTTTACCGTCTGCCTCTGCTCCGCGGGCCGTCGTACGGGTCTTCCTCACACACAGCCTCGTGCTTAACTACGTGAACGGTGACAACCTCGCTGGGTCTTCACAGACACCTGGCTATGGGACACGGAAGGGAAAGACGCCCTCGGCTCCCCGTCACATGACGGGCTGAGACTTTATCAGCTTCAGCCTTCCATGCCTCCCCTAGCTTCTAATCTGGGATCTCAGAGATGTCTCAGCTGACTTATTAATCACTCTATCGCTAAGCCCCTTGCAGAGAAGGAAGTTGGCCTTCTTTCCCCGCCCCGTTTGCTGGAAGGCACTGCCTCCCGTGTCCCCTGATCCCATCACAGCTCCTTGGGATCCAGTCTCCTCACTAACTTGCCCCCATAAACCTTCTAATGTCTAGTAGGGCTGGTGGTTACGGACGCTAATCCGCTCTCTCCCTGGTGCTGGCCACACTGAATCAATTCCTTATTCACCAAGCCTGGTCTCTTTAAGGCGGGTGGCATGGATTCGGTTTGGGTCCCTGAACGGGCACCCCTGCCTGGTCAGCCGTCGCCTCTGCTCTGAGCAGCGCGTGCCCCTTCATGGCAGCCCATCCCATCTGTCTCCACAGCAGGGGCTGCTCGAAGGGGTTTGAGCGGGTCAGTGCAGGAGTGGGTGTCTAGGGTGGACCAGTGGGGGCAGCACCAGGTGTTGGATCCGAGGGCCACAGGAGCCTGTCTTGCGTGTGTCTGTGACACGTAAGGGCCTCTGAAGAGCAGGCCCATGGCAGGCCCCCACGCGGGGCCAGGCCAGCACTGGCTGGTACTGCGGCTGTGAGTACTCCACGCGCCTCTTCAGGAGGTTTGGTGACCACCCGCTTACAGAGGGCGGTGGCCGCCTGACCCGGCATT